TCATGTTCGTGTTCGAGCGATCACGAACAGCTCGATGTTCGTTCGAGTTCGATCGAATGCGAACATGTTCGCCCATCTCTAAGACGAACGTCCACAACTGCTTTTACAAAGTGGCGAATGTCGAAGTGTGACGCTCGGATTTGGAGGGGGGTGGGTTCGGCCTCATGGCCGGACCCGCCCCGAACTTTGGGGAGTCGCGGACGCGTGGCTTGCCATTTTTAAATTCAAATCCGGTCGTTTTTACCGCCCGTGCGGCGGCGCGCCGGCCGGCGTTGCCGGGCAGCAGACGATGCGGTCAGCTGAGCGGCTCGACGAATGGGAGCGGAGGGAGTGCAAGAGAGAGGGATCGAACCGGCGCGAGCCGCGCGGTGCCTCGCTCACTTGGCCATAGGGCTGGAAAATTGTTTTTTTGAAATCGATTAATCGTTAATCGTCGCCAAAACGACAAAAACCGATTAACTGACTCGATGTAATCGATCAAATGAACTAATCGGCCGGTTAATCGCTTTTTGAAAGATGCAAACTGATAGGCCAAGTTGGCCAGCGGTCAGCGGAGAGAGAGAGGTTCGTGCAGCGGATCCAGACCCGTGCACGTTGTTTTCCTTGAATGAGACACTTGTTTTGTTTTTTTACCATCCGTTCATTACTGGCACATGGTGCTCGGTGAGCTAAGATTCAACAGCAGCTCGATCCGAATTTGCCGTGTGACGTCTGTGCTAACGGTAACTCTTCATTCCAAGGTCTTTGTAGACTACCATCTTCGACGGCGTGTTTTGTGTTTTCTTTGCACTCTTGTGTCGGCGCTGTACGCTATAAATTATCTAGCTTGCCTAGCTTCTTGTAACCCCGGTGTTCTTTTGTCTTCTCTTGAAATTCTATATTTTTTTGGTTTTGTCTTTTGACCGCGGCTTGGCTCCGCGGGCGGTTCCATTAGTTTATAATATTTTTCTGTTGCGCTTGTTTTTGCTCGTGTCGTGTGGGAGGTCCTAGAAGTGTACCGAGGCCCTTGCACGTCGTAGATCGGGGCGTGCCCGGCGAGCTTCCTCTCCCTCCCCGCTTCACTTTGGCTGTCTCTTCTTTGGGAATTTAGCGCTATTTGAATTTTTGTCCAATTGACCGTCCGCGGGTCGGTCGGGTGGTCTACCCTTCCGGCACGAACACTAGATGTAGAGTGGGTTGCCTATACAGCAGGCGCTTATTTGCCACTCTGGACTTCGGTGTCCTTACTCTGTATATGTATTGGCTCTAGGAGCCGAATTTTTTAGTGGGTTAGCACGATATGTATGTTCTGATAACATTATTCTTCTCCTCATGACCAGAGGCTAAATTTTTATCGCCTTTTATGTTATCAATGTCTTGTCTTTTTGATCAATAAATGATGTGCTCCAATCGTGATAATATTTTGTGAGGTTTTACACCTCTGGCGCCCTTTAAAAATAAACAAAGTACTCATGGCACTCTGCCATATTTTCGGGAAAGATTGAGCTGTCGGCTGTCATAGTAGCCAAGCACTCTTGTCGAAAGTGCACGTTACAGAAGAACACTGTGATAAAGAGGCGAATGTCCAAATTACTACCCAACGATCTGTTATGCTAATGCTTGAAAATCTTTTGCAGGTATAAGACAATTGTGCTGTACATCTTCCCTATATGTTGAGTATGATGCCCTCTGATTCACATTGTTTATTAGTAAACAGTCCCACAAAAAAGTTGCAGTGTGGTGTTCTTTGATATTTTTGCTATCCCCTATTTTCCGGGTCCCCAACTGTGGTCTGCAGGTGTACACATGATGCAGGCTTCCCAGTATTCCTGAGTTTTCCTTCCCTGGTCATCTCGAGGTTTTCTTGGTTTCCTTACGTTTTATTCGGTCTTCCTGAGTTTTCTTTGCTTTTCTCAAGGAATTTCAAGGCTTCATGAGGTTTTCTTCGATTTTCCCTTGGGTTTCCTGGGTATACTCTTGGTCCGCCTTGATATTATCTTGGTCTTCCTGGCTTTCAATTGCCAATTTTTTCCTGGTCTTCCCACAACTTTTCTCGTCTTCCTAGAATTTTTCTGGTCTTCTGACGAAGTTCTTGGTCTCCCCCCGATTAATGCGGTCTTCCCGGATATTTTTCGGTCTTCCCTCAATGATTCTGGTCTTCCGGAAACTTTTGGGGTTTCTATACATTTTTGAGGTCAAAATGAGCTTGATCTTTCCTGTATTTTTCAGTCTTCTTTGGTTTTCTTTGGTCTTCTGTTGGTCTTCCTGGGTTTTCCTGGTGTCTGAGCTGCCAGTGTACACGCTCGAACCTAGTTTGGGACCCCTCATATTTTCCCCTATCCCCTAATGCAACATGGTCAAGAATGGACATTCGCCTATTTGTCAAATTTTATTAGGACATTCGCCATTTAGACCAATTGACATATGGACATTCGCCCCTTTGTCAAATTGTTTGATCATTTGTTGAAAATACTATGGACATTGGTCTTTTTATGCTATGTGAGTAACCCTGGAACTATGATAGATATGAATGTGTCGTTTGGTTCTACATATGAAGAATAAAATTATGACACTAAAACCTCAAATTATCAAAAATGTGGATATTCGTCCCTTTCTCAAAATTTGCCCGACTGTCGGGGCCTAATCTCTCTAAAATTAGGGAAACGAAACTTAGATATTTAGGACAAGTTTTCTTTCAACGTTTTCATTTGTCAGATTCTTATTATGTAAGAAAAATGTTAACAATTCTTGTTAATTGCGAAACGAACCCACGGTTAAAAAAAAAGTCGCCCTCTTGTTGTAACGAATGTTGTTGATGCGTCTTTTTGCGTGATATCTTTGTGTACTAGCTTATAGATCAATACTTTTATAATTAAACACAATTTTTGACGTGGGCGCTGGGCAGCGCACGCGAGGAGTCGACTAGAGAGCAAGGTGTCTATTGTTGCTCTGGTATGTGGGTGTGGAGCTGCGCAACAGGTGGTAATCATTAATCAGCTGAACCATGACGCTCCTCCCTGATGTCTGGCAGGAACGGGTTCCTTTAAAAAAAAAAAAAAAAAAAAAACCTTTTGAGTGGAAGTAGATGATCTAGACCACCTCCAACCCAAAGGAGGGTTTGATTCGCAGCTAAATGTGTGGTTTTAATTTTACTTTCTTTACAGTCTCTCGATGTGAAGACTTTTTTCCAGCTGAATGATCTATATGGTCATTTTCCCATATTTTTTGTCAAAAAAATTACCTCTAGGGCCGGAACGGTAAAAGTTGGAGGAGAACGGCTTCTACTTGTGCATGTCACCCTTTAGGAACGCATAAAAAGAAATACTTTTGTAAAATATTTCTTGGGACCTGTCGTTTTTGATTTTTTTAAAGTCAATTTTTGAACAGAATCCTTATCTTTGCACTCGCTTGGTCTTTTTAGGATAAAATACGACCCTGAAATACCACGATCGCTCACTTTCTATCTTGCATACAGTCAAACAGACAAACATACAGAACGAACCCTTTTTTGGACGGTGGAGTAATGGGCTTCGCTAATCGCTGAGCCTATAAGGTTTCATATATCTTTACTCAGAATTTCGTTTTCTCCCTGTTAAGGGTCCATGGGATGTGTGGATTGAGCGATTCAGCATGTGCAGTGACGATGACAAACGGGTGCAGATGAAGTTTTCACACTACAATCCTAACAAAAAGTTTGAACCGCAAGTGTGGACTGGCCTCATGAATGTCACGCACGAGTTTACTGACGACTGGTGGGTAAGTGCATCAGGACTAGTTGAGCCGAGGGGTGAGTAATGTACAGCACTATGCGGCGTGTAGTTTTTGTAGGGTGACGATTTTCCTAAACCCTTAAAATCACGGGTCTGCACTGTAAAAAGCTTACGAACTAAATACTTTGCAACGTTACGAACAATTTTCGATCTTTGTATCGCGAAGAAATTGTTCGTATTGCAAAGCGATTGTTTGCAAGGCTGGTCTTACGAACAATCGGATTGCACTACGAACTATTTGTTTGTATTACAACGCTTCAAAATCCTTCGTAAGACACGAACGTTTTGGTTTGCATTACGAACCTATTGTTAGTAAGCAATTTACAGTGTGCCCTCTTAAGCCGCTTTTTGGACTTGGTGAGCTTTCGTAGGACCTCAAAAACGTCTCTCATACACAAAAATTGCAACAAGACACCGGGAATGGCTTTAGGATACCCGAAAACCCCCACGTACCTATTTTTAGTGCGAACGTTATGGGCGACATTACGATGTCGCTGACGGTGACCCTGGATGTGCAAATGGACAAAAGAAATTACTTTTATAGACCCATCAATTATTCGGTACGAGCTTCGGTGCCAATCCGTGTGCTGTAGCCTTTTGACCCTAAATTTCCGTTTTCGCCCCAGTGTGCAACGCGGTGCGACGTCTCTGAGACATTGTGTAACTCCTATTTTGTGTTCTATGGCAGTCGTTCGTATAGACGTATGGGGGAGGAGGTGGGGAGGTTGGTGATCATAAAAAAGTGCAGTTTCGTTCCAAAGCATCTCCTGTTCGTCTCCAATGTGCTGGAGCCACCACTTCGGTTGAGCATGACGTCTTTTTCGGAGCTCTACTAGAGCTCGCCAAGACAAGAATTTCGAACAATTTCACCAGAGGTAGGAGCAGGATCGATCTAATGGGGTCAAAACTAATTTCCGATGCTTTCTGCACTTCTCTGTTGATTTAGTAAGCAGCCCATTTTGGAAATATGGCAACAGTGCAGACTCAATTGTCCTACCTAGTTCCAAAGTCCACGTTTAAAGTTACTTTCGCCTAGGGTTTTAAGTCCGGTAATTTTACATGTAAAATTGCATGTAATTTACGGTAAAATACCGGGTAATTTATTATTTTTTACTTACATCGGTAAAATTGAATTGATTGGTTTCCCGAGGCATAGGTTTGTTTCTACTAGTAGAGGTTTAGTCGTTTGTGTCTTAAGGACAACGCTTTTACTTTGAAGAAAACATGTTTTTATTAATTATAAGAAAGTCAAAGTAGCTAAATTTAAAGCTTAAAATGGCACCAAAACCAA